GTTCGAATCCCACCGTGGTCGACTTTTTATTATTAAATCTTGCGCGGTTTTTGAGCGGTTTTTTTAGATAAACCGCTCAAAACCGTTCAAATCTTGCGCGGTTTTTTTAGATAAACCGTTCAAAAACCGCTCAAACCGCTCATTTTGAAGCAAGATTTTGAGCGTAATTGTCTAAAAAAACCGCTCAAACCGCTCAAATCTTGCTTCAAATTAGGTGAAAAATCTCGACTCGGGATAGCGTGTGCTTCCAGGGGCTTAATGTTGATATTGGCGGAACCTATTGGTGGAACCTGATCTAAACTATATTTTATGATTGGATAAATTAGATATTTTACCACTGTAAAGTATTTAATATTAACCAATCATGATCCATCTAACTAACAACCCACTTATTTGTAAGTGCTGAAATTACTTGTAATTTCAGCACCAGAGAGATTTGAATTTAACTTAGAAATTAGTTGCCTCTCCAAGAGAACTTCAGCAGCCGCAACAAACCAGTATACCCTAGATCTATTGAGCCTAGCAGAGACTAGTTAAACACCCTGAGACTAGAAAGTATAAGAGTAAGATTAGGATCGGTATTAGACTAAGAAGTTTCACGAATCTATCCGGCCGAAAATAAGATAGCGTGACGAGCAGACGGTGTACCCTATCCGAAATTACTCTATGAGTTAACCATATCGGTTTTAACTCATCTGGTGCGACCATAAGTCTCGAATAAGACCTTAATAGCTTAGATTTAACCAAAAATAGATTAGAATTTAGACAAAACATTTTAAAAATGTTATACGATGATAATTTAATCGAAATGTCTCTACGACTCAATAGATCAGAGCCGATATTCCGAACGATAACAGAACTACCCGGAATCGTCAGAAGACCTCGAACAAGAGACGACATACGCCAAAGTAGAAACTTACCATATAGTTATATGATAGTACGGCAAAAGCCAACACAAACTTTTATATTTAGAATCTTATTAGCAATGAATTTAGATTTTCATTTGCAAACATAAAATCTTGAAGTCAATCATCATAATCATTTCAGGCGCTAAACAAAATTATTAATATACAATAACGATTGATAAAAAGATCTCAGATCGTTTTCTTAAATTCTGCAGTCTTATATAAAACATGTTTGAAAAATATTTATTGAAAATGAAAATAAAAATTAGTAGCATGACAATAAATTGTTAGTAATCATAAAATCATCTGTTGCCCCAGCTTCATCACCTAAACATAACAGCAATCATAAGCTCACTAATATCATTAAAAAACTAAATCTTTTTATTAAATAAATTTAAACCATTTTAAACTTAAATTCACTTAATTTTAAAATCAGATCATCAAGGCTTATCCTTGGATCTTAATTAATTTCTTTCCTATTTCACTAAATTCAAAAATCTGATCATCAAGGCCTATCCTTGGATCAAAATGAACAATTTTGTTCACCCCCATCCACTTAGCAAGTGTCTAACGACCTCAAACGTCGATTCACTATCCAACCCTTCCAAAAAACCCAAGACTAATAGAAATTTTTCAACAAAACTAACCATTCAAATTAAGATAAACAGTGAAGAACTTCGGTTATTCATCCTTCACTTGAACCCTCCTTTTACCAGACCCAGGATAAATCCTAGACTTAGTAAGTTTAAAATGGTATCTAACGAACTACTCGCGTTCTAATTATACCTGAACCTTGTGGATCGATTTACTATTCTCCAACCCTTGAACACAATCATTATCCCTAAGTAAGATTAAGTAAGTTAACACCTTAGCTTATACTAGCCACGAGAAAGTAAAAACTCATTCTTCGGAATCGATATACTTTTCTCTCCAACCCTGAACAAATAGACCCAGGTTAAGCTAACCAAAAAATCGTAAGGACTAACAGTTTAAGAAAGTAGACATCATCTAACAACTTTTTGCATCCCTCCTCCTAAACCTTATGTCATTCAAAAATCTAGGAAATAAACAAACAATCGTTTTACACAATTGTGAAATAGATAACAAAAAATACGATCTTGTAATCACACCTCATACACAAACAGTTGGATATATTAGAACAAAACGACTAACAATAAAAAGAAAAATAATAAACAAACAAAGACAAATCACACGAAAAAGATTTTCAAAAAATAGAAACGCATTTTCAGAATCAGAAGCCAGCAATTTAGATGAACTCTATAAATTAAAAGAATCGATTGATAAAAATTGTCCCATTCACGATCAATTATATTTTTCCGACTCAGAAACAACTTCAAATTCATCAAAAAGAGGAAAAAGAAGAATAAAAAAGCAATATAAACACAAACCAGTACACTTGTATAATTGGAATCAACCAATTAGACACATCGATAGTTATATATTAGCAGTCATTAAACGAAAAAATGAGCCACAGCCATACTCAAAGTGACGAAAGTCCAGATGACGAAGAGGTTTACCCCTTCCTCATAGATGCACCCGATAATAGAGGACAGCATGACTTTTGCAAGAATTTACTCCTAAATTTGTTTGAACCCGGAATCAGCCCATGCAAAGCAAAATTCCCAGATGTAAAAATCAAAAGACAAATTATTGAACATTATCTGAAAGATATATGTAATTTAACACAGCAATATGGAATCTACACCATAGAATTCAGCACACCAAATCCGAATCATCGAAAATATGCAATTCAAACAGAAGATCTTGAATTAGAATTTTCAAAAGTATTCTTAGAATATATTAAAAGCATACAATATCATAATTCACAAAGAGCAAACTCCATACTCCATATTCACTAACGAAGTTTTTGCAATAATATATACCTATATTTCTATATTAGAAAAAACAGAATTTCAAAGTTTCTCACCAACTGAAACAT